ATATATTTTTCTTTATTAAAATTGACGAATAAATACAACTTAACTTTATAAAAATACGTTTATTTAAAATAATTAAGATAAATATCTATAAAAAATAAAAAATTTTTTTCTAATTTTTCGTTCTATAATTTTTAGTATTTGCTAAATTTTTCATAATTATATTGTGATAAAACAGAAAATATTTTTTATTTACAGTTACTATTATTATTTTACTAACAATTAAATCCATAAATAAAAAATTTCTGCAAAACAAAATATAGCGCTAACAAAATGAGGCCAATAATCTGGCCTTCGACCCTTGCTATAGTACTGATGTCGGCTTTCGTATTTGAATTTCTTTTTGATAGGCATATTTAACATATGCAGTTTTCATCACCGAAATTTTAAAAATAACTTGATGTTTAATTCACATAATTCATGCGAAAAATTACGACATCGTACGTCTTATGTTGCAGCTTTGAAACATTCCCCATCGAAGAGAAAAAGTATTAGCAGACCACTGAGACCATTGGAGGGTGACTTCGATTCAACCGGTGAGTCAAATGCGTTTCTTTCAAACTCTCAAATAATTTTTTTTTCCAATTTTTTGTTAAAAGTATCTTTATCGCTTGTACGTGATATCACGCGAGAAATTAATCGGTTTTCGGAATATCATTTTGATTACGAACCGTAGAGAGTTATAGTTTCGTGTTATCAAATAAATGAATATTTATCCTTCATCCTTTCGCGGCTAAAATAATTACAGTAAATCGTGATAAAAGAACTGATTAAAATAAAACAATCGATTCCAAGCGCATATATCGGTATCGCAATTTGAAGCTTGTATAGACAATTGAATTCCGAAAATTCGACAAAACATTTCTTCACGGTTCTATCATTGGCTTTGCGCTGGATTTCACTGTAGCCAGGCACAGCGATCAGTGCAATAAACTTAGTTGCGGCATTCCCACGTTACCCGCTTCTAAAGCATTCACGACGATACCGATATGCGAAGACGTCGAGAATTCTAGATGAAGTCCCATCTAAGCCCCGTCCCATCTCCTTTTCCAACTCGGCTCCTCGTTCCAACTTGGCTTCCTGTGGATACTCACTGTGGATACATAAACGAAAAACGTATGTATATCTATTATAATTTTTAATTAACTTAATAGATTTTAATCTGCATCACAAAGGCGCACGTTGTAAAGAAAAATGATATTCAATCTCACGTTTTTCTCTTATTTGGTGAGTCAAAAGTTTCTAGAATTTTACCATCCTAAACGTAAGTTTGTACATATTATATATCTACAAGAACTCGAGTCATAAGCAGCTACGAACGAATGGTAAAAGACCGGTGTAAATATTAGACATTAAAATTGTACATTGTACATAACAGAGAGAAAGCAGAGTCGCTGCAATTTATGTATCTTTGTAAATTTACATATTACCTGGCAAAGAAAAGTAATTCCACTGAACACGAGTGTCTGCACCTCGAATCTCCTCACTTTCCTATTCCCTATAATCAATCCGTTCGTCGATGCAGTCTTGTGTATACAGCTTTACATCGTGAGTGTCCGTCAATCGTTTTTTCCTTGCCACACGAACGTCCCTTACTCGAATCCTCTCGGGTTCCGTCTCGGTACTCTTTCGGCCAACGCGACAGAGAAACTGGAGCCGCGATTTCAACGGAATTCGCTTTTAGCAAAGCAATTGCTTCGCTGCGAATGAAAACGCTTGAAGGAACGTGGCGTACTTGTCGATGAAGCAGGGTTTGAATATGATAACCGCGAAAACAAGCGGTCGTGACTCAATGCCATTGATACGCGAGAATAACAATTTCATTTCTACAGTTTTATCAGCGAGAGTAATTGACGAGAGATCGAAATATATATTCGAAATCGTATATGCATCCTTATGCAGCATCGATAATTCTATTTCGTTGCTGTCACGTCGGTTTCAAACCCTACGACCAAAGGGATCTCGTAAGGCCGAAGACGAGATCATCTTGTGCTTGTAACGCGCTTCTGGCATTGAATGGCTTCCACGTTTTTCTGAAACACTCTCGAAATCCGTGTTTCCGAGTTTCTCTGTCCGATTACGAGTTGGACACATACCACAATACGGTAATGGTACATGGTGTTGTATGGTGGTTTAGCGGTGGCGGCAACTGGAGGTACAACAATGCATGCTACATCACCTACGAAGGCCGGTGAGTCTCATACGATCTACGCACTTACTCTCGTAATGTACAGTCGTTCATTTGCCATACGGAACTATTCTCAAGATTGCGTCTCGTGATATCGCGAAAATGAATCGTTATTTTTCGGAAACATTATTATACAAGATATATGTTCTTTACTCCTATAAAAAAATAAAATAATAATAATGTGAAAATTTTTAAAGATCCGTTTATAAATCGTTCGCTGCGTTATACGCTGAATCTCTGTCAAAATTAAGGTTGAAAATTAATTGGATTGAAAATAATTTGACTCTGTATTACGATAATATTTGTTGTAAATTATCAATCATATATCATTTACCGCTTTATAATTAAAATCGCAAATGATTTTTCGAATGGGCTGTGCAACGTAAATTCGACGCATTCATGAACCGAGAAAGTTACCAAAGAACTGTGAATTATTACATTGTTATATAATAATCGTAGAAGAAAAAGAAACTCCAACTCCATTGCGCTGGTCGCTTTCCTTTGATTACGAACACATACGTATGTATCATAAATGAAATCGCAATATTTGTGAAATATTGCACTCGGATCACTCTCGTAAAGTCCAACCGGAGGAAGAATCAACGTTGCACGGTTCCCCCGATTCATTCAATTTCTCTCATCCGGCTTCTCTGTTTCTCTCTTTTCGCCTGTCTCTCTCTCCCTCTCTCTCTCTCTCTCTCTCTCTCTCTCTCTCTCTCTCTCTTTGTCTTCCCATCCCGCGCCATCGCGACGCTGCACCCGCGACTCCCCCGTTGAACCCTTGGACGGCCTCGAACTACCACGCAGCAGTTAGCCCGGCCGATCCTGCGATCAATGCGACGAACGTGGCGGCTTCGGTGCCGATCGCCACCTCGACCCCGGTTAACCTTGCCGCTGGTCCACTGAGCCCGCCCCCGTTGACCTTAGCGGCCAGTCAAGGTCCACATCACGAGCATCCGCCCGGGGCCGCTCCCACGGTCAAGGTCACGAGTTATCCGGCTGTGCTGAAGGGTAGAAGCGCGGCCAGTCCGCCGAATCCGAACTTGGTACCGTCCGGCAAGATCCCGCCGCCGGTGCCGCCGCGGGGCACGGGCGCCTCGAGGACCGGCAGGTCCTCCGAGGATCACCGGGCGGCCGGCACCGCCGCCTCGACGACGTCGTCGATGACTTCCAGCCGAGGTGATGAAGCAGCCATAATCACGAGATACCGCTTGCATGACAATTCGTGCGACCTGCACCACTCGTCCGTATCCACCTCTACTTTTTCCTTCACCTCTACTTCTGTCACCGCTGCTAAAATTGTGGCCTCTACCTCTATCACCGCCGCTACTTCTTCTACTAAAGCTACCTGCGCGACCTCGAATGTGTTGCATGCCCGTACATCGACACCTAATAATTATCGCGTCACGCATCCCGGTCTTCTCGACCAAGAGGCCGGATCGGCTCGACCGACGAAGTGGATTCAGAATTGGCACAGTCGAGAACTCGATGAGGAATTTGTAAGCGTGGAGAAGGTCGAGGATTCTTACTTTATTAAAACTAGTCTGCATCCCCTCAGACCGGATAGAAGAGTTCGTCGAGCCGATCATTCGATGGGTATTGGAACTATGGAAATCGATAATGGCAAATTCCCGAGAAAAGATAAAGAAAGAAGAGGTGACACCAAAACGGATCATCTAGCGAAATTTACATACTTCCTGAATCCAGAGTCTCGAGCAGATCTGATGAATTACAAGATGTCACGAAAAGATAAGAAACACTCTGAAACATATTATGAGAGGGTAAAGAGAAAGCAGAAAGATCTTGAAGCATCTATCACAACGATCACAACGATATCGCATCGTCGTAAGCGAATGGAAGATATAAAAACGTACCATGCAGACACATTATCTCATACGAAGAACAAGCCTACCGAAGACTGGGCTAAACAAAGAAAAATCTTAAAATTTGCGTCAACTAAAAACGATAGCATTTTATTATACAAGATTCGAGAGAAGTCTAAAAAAAAGAAGCGAGTTGCACCAAAACCCACAAAAATCGATCAAAATCAATCAAAATCGATAAAGAAGCGAACAACTGGAATTTTTAATGAAAATTTGACTGAAAATGAGGAAGCAAATGCAATGAGAAAAGATGAAAAATTGTTTTCGAAAATGAGTTCTCAAGAAGATAAGAGCGATAATTATCAGATCCAGGAAACAAGCAAAAAAAACGCTACAGATTTCACAGGCGAAAAGAATCAGCCGGTAATCGGTTATGGTGAAACGAAAGAGAACCGTTCTTCTGGTAGAAATAATAACTATCTTGATGAGAAGAAGAAAAACGTTTCTAAGAATATAAGTGGCAAACATGGAAGTAAAAGAGGCGGATTCCAAGGAATTTTTCCGAACAGTTATCGTGTTGAAAACACGGAAGATAAGATTGTTCGCGAAACAATTGGTAAATTTGATCGACAGTCTAATGAAAATTAAAAAAGATGGAAAATGTAAAAACGAGGCTTTGAAGTTTGAAGTTTTGACATCTGTTAAAAACTACGATAGACGTTCTTTTCTTCGTGAAGAAAGACCTTTTTTCGATGATATTAGGAAAATTAATCTGAAAGATGCGAATCAAAATAAATTACGAAGTACAATCACGAAAGGAGAATTTATGTCTTCCAATCTCGATGATATTAAAAATAAGAATAGCAATATTATAAAACGTTCCATTTCCGAAAAAGTGAAGACTTTTGAGAAGATTGAGGCAAATATGAGAAACGAAACAGAGGGCGCTCTACGAAAGGACGTATACTTGGATAATTTCGATCACAAAAACGAAGTTATGGCTACTACTAAACAAAACTTTGCATTACCGACGAATGAAATTCGTTTAAATCAGAAGAAAGAAAAAATTGTATTGAAAAAAAGATTGTTAGATACCGATGCTGAAAGGCAAATGTTTAAATCGCTTTCGTGCGGCCACTGCAACGATGTGTTATTTAATCCAGAGTTTGGAACGCCGAAGCCAAATGTTTCTTTCTTACATACTTATCGAAAGACGCGATCGTTCACGTGAAGATATTTCTTGGCTGCTAATTTTAGATTGTTACGGAACTTGGCAATAAATATATACGAACAAAAAGGAGGAAGCGATTTAATAACGATAAGAATCTTGATATCATCGAATTGATAACGATTTTCAATCGCGATAAATGATACATCAGATTTTTTTCAAATATGTAATCTTATAAAGAACCGCAGCTTCCAGCCTTATAAGGAGAAAAAGTACAGCTTTCATTTTGCTGGACGCTTATTACATAAATTGTTTTTTTTTTTGTTAATTCTTTCTATCACTGCTGCATGACAATACAAGCATGCGTTTTTATGATTATTACTTTCTGCATATCATCCGATCTCATATCTCAGATTGTGACAACAGTGTTTTCGGCAATCGTCAATAGTTATCGAAGATGACGTGCCATGTTTACTGTTAAATGTTCAACCGCTAATATTAGTAGATATCAAGAATAAGTGTTAACTAATATCTTTTTGATCTCTCTTTTCCACGTCTGCGACGTTCCTATGTCATAGTTGATTTAAGGCATCGATGAGGTATCGTTTATGTATAGAAAAATTATTCTCGAGACTTCCCTGCTTATTGTATAAAACTATCATTATACTGTTTTATGTGATACTGTGTTTCATGTATACCATTCAAATTTTATTAGAACCCGCACGCGTAGATTTTTGTTGCCAAACAAACGAATAAACGCAACGCGTTTTGCTACAAATAAACTTTTGCTTATATTATATTATATTATGATTTTTACAACAGCATTTTTATTACTTTTATTATTAATTTATTTTGTGCAATCCAATGTCCCTCTATTTAATTAATTGCGTTTATTTATCTCCTAGTCGTACTGTTTAGTGAATTCGTTCTAAAGTTTTGTCTAGTAATAATTTACCTCACAACGCAAAAAGATGTTTATACGAGTATCGAGATGTTTATACGAGTTCGTGATGACATAGCAGTCGCATCGTGTTAAACTCAATTTATTCTCAAATGATTTGTTTACTATTGCGCTTATATAGACATATAATTTATTCATTTAAAGTTGTTTCTATCAATTTTGAATATAGATGCTTTTTATATTGACATTTCCAGCATTTTTAAAAACAACGACAACCAAATAAATAATAGAATTATTGGGACATAAAATTTATTTCGTTAAATTGTGTCTTCTTAAAAATGTTGAAAATGTAAATTTGCTCTGCATAGTTTTTTCATTGCATATACACAATAGCGCTTGGAAATTCCAAATAATTATTTTCCTCCTTCTTAATTACTGATAATAATTACTGTGATAGTTGTTTATCCCAAGCTTCATCAGCTATATTACATATAGACGGTAAAAGAATTGATTTTTTTGCGATATTAGAGCAGATGTTATTATTATTATAAGTGCACGTATTAAAAATTTTGAACGATTTGCACTATAAATATACTTATATATAAGATGGTTTAGAATTTATATCAAGTTATCAAGCTTTGAATCTGCGTAAATATAATAACAAAACTAACAAGCGATAAATATTAATTTTAAACCGTCTTGTATATCGATAAATCGCGAGTTTTTTCTTGCAATGGTAATCAAGCTGTTAACAAATTAACATAACTTGACATAGCAATAAATGCGTAAAAAAAACATTGACAAATCTTTTAACTTTTTTTTTCAAGTATGAGAAGATATATCAATATCTCTCAAGAAGTCATGATGAAAAATATATTTTTTATTTCTAACTACTATACTTTTGCTATTTTAGTAAATCGGCAACTTTCTACCAACCATGTGTCGTCTTTGTAACATAATATATATAATTGTGATTATTAGTGTAAAAACGAGTTTCTACTCCATCCATCTTTAACATTTTTCCGTTGGCTATAGCATTTACGAAATGCGTAGTATTATTAAATTAGGGCTAATTGTAACGCGCTTTTTGTAGGTGGCACCCTTCCTTCCACTTGCTCTACCCCGCCCCCGCCCTTTGACGATGCAGTCCGCTCGAATGACCAAACCCTGGCTTCCGGTGGTCATCTTCAGCAGGGCGGCGCAACCACTATTCTCGCGAGCAGCCTGGGCTCTGCTCATTTCAAACAAAACAAAGTTGTTCATCATGTTACCCTCACTAAGACGTATCACGATACTGTAAGGTGAGCGATACACTCTTTTGGATGCTAATTATTGATAATTTTAATCTCAATCTTCAACCAGTAACAAAATATCATCATAATCAAAATATCGTCATAAAAATATATGATTGTGTTTTGTATCCACGTGGCCAAAATAAAATTAATCAACAAATTTATTATGTGACTTTTAATGATTGAAATGTAAAGTATACAGTTTTTAAAAAACAAATGTTACCGGTTGATCAGATGTACAATTAATACATACACAGATATTTCTTTACACTGCTTAAACTTCTTTTTTTTTCGATATTTTTCGATACTTAATCCTGAGATATATTTTACGCTTGTCTTCGCACTTCGCACTTCGCATCTAAATGAAAACATTTTTTCTTTGCTTTATCACTGCAACCTCAGGAAAAGGAGAATGTTAGTATTTAATTTTTATTTAACCACACATGAATATTCGATTTTTTTCAAATTGTCAGCGTCGAACATTACAAACGAATTTATCTTCTTCAGCATATCGGACGTGCATTTGGAGAGTAGCGGTAGCGGTAGTGGAAGCGGCGGCAGAGAAACCAAGTCGTCGCTGAGCGTCGAGAGCGGCGGCAGCAGCAGCCGAGGTGGTGGCGGTCTCACGTGGACTCCACCTGCCGGAAGTGCCGAGGGTTCAACACCCACGTGGACCGAAGGCACGCCGTCCTTCACCGAGAGCTCTAGCAGCGGCGACATAGGTAAGTTGCTCTACGCGCTCAACATCTACTATGGTTCCTGAGGAATACTGTCACGAGGACCCTGTCGGCTTCTTCTGCTGATACTTTTCCTCTCTTCTCCTCAGCCTCCTCTAAACATTCTAAGGAGAGGATTCGTGCGAAAGCAAACTTATCATTTTGATTCTCTCACGTTCGTTCTTTAATTACCGGGCGTTAATTTTGTAGATCTAGGTTTAAGTAACGATTGTTTCTTTTTCTATATCAATTTATTTTCTAAAAAACTGTATATTGATTCTATGAATTGAACAATTTTTTTATAAGCTTATTTTATCTTCGATAAATTAGATAATGTAATCATGTTGGCGATAGATCTTTGTATCATGTTAATTGGTAATATATCATAGAATTATTATCATGAAGCATATAATTTAACGCATTTTGCGCGAAAATGTATTGTTGCGTACTTTATTTTGTGCGTTATTTATGACAGAATTAATTACATTGATAAAAATGTAAAATCGAATAGAAAGAACGGCTATAATCAATCAACGATTATTCTGTTTAGTCCTGTCTAGCTAATTTAAAACTTTGTTAAAACGCTTGATAACTGTGCGACTGATAACTATGAGAGAGACAATAAAGAAGGAAACATACAAAAACGCGAAACTTCATTCTCTCATCACTTTTCATCGAATCCTATCACGTAGATTTTATTTTTTATTTTCTATCTTCTGTATACATTTTCTAAGCTTCGAGAACTGCTTAGGACTACTGGGTTATGAGATAAGTTTCAATCTTTCTCTATATCTTTCTGTCTCTGTATCTTTTTCCACTGTTAACTCACGCAAGCAATTAACCACACGCTTCTTATATTAAACAACACATTAAAAGACAGTTTCCCGAAGGCACGTTTCACGTTTTGCTAAAAAATTGTGAAACTTGGAAAAAAAGGCACAAATTTGGAACTATGTTCTGTAAAATCGTATAAAACATTTATACAAATATGTATATATTCTTATGTAATGTTTCACGCTATGGTAAATGCCTCAATATCTCTCACAGTTACAATCGCTTTTTTCGAATATACAGCTAATTTGGAGATCACACTATCGCTCGGGATACTTCTTGTCTTCCGTTTATGGTAATGGAGGTTCAACAATATTTTTTGCACGATAACAATTAACGATAATTTTAGGTTGCCCGACAACGCCGATCAAGGGTAATCAACGTCAGGATAATGGTGGAAGGATCGCGGCCACTGTGGAGGAGGCCTTAGCGAGTCTCACGACTGAGATGGTAAGTCCTAATTTATTTCATTGACCGATCGGACACAAGAAAATACAGCTGAGACAATGGAGAATCATGTTGGCATTGTATAAAATTATTATATGTATATTTCATATTTAATATGTAAACCAACAATAGAAAACCAACAATACACGATTATTAGAAAACTATCGAATGAGAAAAAAAGATTTATTTATAATTTTATCTCTATAGATAATTTATGTTTGTTAGTTTCTTATCTCGTCACAATAATCATGATTGTCCAATGTTGTCGCTGTATATTTCCATGAACAGACGATTTATACGAGATGGTAAGTTCGCTATCGTCAGTGGCCGATTGAGTCGAATTATTTAAACGTGTTCTTCCCCGAGTGACCAAAGATCACTGTAACCATTAAAAATAGACGGCGACGTGCTACAAAAACCTACCGAACGGTAATTACGTCGTCGGTATTTTCAAGTCCTTTTAACGTCCCTCAAGTATTGCAGGATTTTCCAGGATGATCAGTGAATCAACTAATCGCGATCCGCATGGAGCGTCCCAAGCCGAATATATTACTTTCGATAAAAATGAGATAGAAGCACGCGCTCAAAAAATGATGCCACTGTCGATATTATTCTCAAGATGTTTCATATTGAGACCACTCGCATGACAAATGCGACATCAACGACGCGTATTTCTTCATTACGCTGCGCCACGCACTTTTATTGAAAAGTAAACAAACGCTTTATCGCACGATTGACGAAACGCAAAAATATGCGCGTATAGACGTCAGCATGATTTATGCTGCGCGAAACAAATTTCGCTTCTCGAAAAGTCACATCGGGCATGACTGATTCAACGTTAAACAGTCGAGCAATTCTGACGTAATCATTCTTAATAAAAAAAGAGTAGTCGTAGACTTGCTTGGAACTTGCTTGGAAGCTACAAAGAAAGCGAAGTATCTCGCATAATCGTCTACAACTCGTCGATAGTCAGAGTAGTTCGAAAATGTTCATCAATTGTGAGAAGAAAAGAGAGACGGGAGAGATGGCCTACGAGCCGCTCTCCTTATTTTCGAGAACAGGTTTCAGTTCTCATGAAATTCATCCTGACAGAAACAAACGGCCGCTTTGGAACGCTCCATGCGAGAGAGTCAGACTGTCTGAACGCTTTGTCTATTTTCCTGAATCAGGAGATACTGCAGCGCGAGTGAATACACGACTCTCGTCCTCCTTCAATAATCTTCGTCACCTCAGGCGCAACGTGCTCTGTGGGTGATCTGCACCACCGTAGGCCCGTGACAAATCTTCGAAAAAATGAGAGAGAGAATGTGTGTGTGTGTGTGTGTGTGTGTGTGTGTGTGTGTATGTGTGTGTGAATGTGTGAAGGTAATAAAATCTAATCATGAATAGCGAGAGGTACGGTTTAACCCTTGATTGGTCGCGTTGGAGTAGGTTGCTAGCTATGCTCGTTGTAATTTGCTTTTCCGGCAATTTAACAGTTACCTTTAATTTTGCTGCTGCTGGCATCGGGACCTGGACTTCTTTTACAATATCATGTAGCTTTATTTGTCAAAAACCTCTCTCGTCTTTCATTCACGTCGCATCATATCCTCTTCTATCATCGTCATCTCTACCGGATCCTTTTCATTCTTCTCGTTTTAATTTCACATTCATATTGTCTCTCTAAATATCTTTAGTCAGAAAGCAACTCCCAAAATAATCAACTTGTAGTTTTAGTAAACGCATTTAAGAATATCTCGTGTTCGTTATTTTATTTAATCTTAAGAACCACTTGATCGCAAGACTACTTAAGGGTTAAAAACGGAGAGCGATAGAAATAGCTTCATCGAGGATCGAGATGAATATATTCTACTCTGGATCGAGAGATCGCAAGTACAATATCGTTCATTCCATTTTGACAGCATCTGTGTTTCATTCATTATGAAAACCACCAGGAAATGTTTGTACTTAACGCGATTTCCAATTAACGTTCGTCTCGATCCGCGACTTCTAGCATTAATTCATTATCGACATGTATATCTGTATACATAAATGTGTGTGGGCAATTATCTCACTCGAATGTGTTTCTCGCTATGATAAGAGGGAACACTTTCGATATCCTTATATGGGCATCCTTAAATCTTCCTGAATATAGAAGAGTCAATATCATTACGGTTACGTATTTAACAAAAAAAACGTGATAATCGTCGGCCTACTCGATAAACATCTTTTAACATTGTTCCAAATTGATTCGAGAAGTGATTGAAATGCCATTTTTCTAATCCTTTTTATATAAAGAAATGTTCTTTTATTTTCAAACAAATAAACTTAAAATAATGTCTTCAATTTTAATTCTTTCAATATTATTTTCAACCTATTTAAATTCGTAAATTTCGTATATGTCAATTTTATTCTATTTTTTATATTTATCAACAAATTTTTTATTGGCCTAAAACTTTACATCTCTCCCAACACTTTGCGTATAAATTTAAAATATAAATACATTTAATACTAATTTGCTTTTTCATAAGCTTTTTATTATTTTTTTTTAATTTCTTTTTAATTTTTAATTTCTGTAAAACTGTCAAAAAAAAATTTTGAAGATAAGATCGCAAAATTTATGTCGAGAAATAGAGCGTTGTAGCGAATAGATGACATACATTCCTAAAAGATGAAGAACAAGTGGCATTTTGTTCTACTACCAAACGTTCTCACGCGTTCCTACATGTTCGCACATAATTCAAGTGTTTTTTTTTCCTAATCGAGTCGTTGCCGTCGATAAACAATATCATAGATTTTACTAACCTAATGCGAGAAACTGTGCGAACAATTATTGCCGATATATAATTGACACACGGCGAGAAAGGGGAGCTTGTAAATAAAGTGTGCTTGCGCATAGTTCGGCTAGCAGAAGGCCCGCGCGATTCCTTTTTATTGCGAGGATATAGTTAGTGTTACGTACATGTATCTATATGTGTCTCACGTTCTGTCTGTCTGTCTCTCTGTACGTATCTATACATACGTATGCACGCACGCAAAACTGTGTGTGTGTGTGTGTGTGTGTGTATCATGTATACATATTATAAATACAACGTGCTTGTGCATTCTTGCAAAGATAATACGTCTCAAGTTGTTTCTTCTGAATTCTGATGAACTTCGCATCGTGTAAAACAAAAACAGAAACAAAAGCACGCATATATATATATATATATATATATATATATATATTATTTAT